ATCTGTTCCCATGAAGAAACAAATTCATCTACATCTTGGATGGCCTGAGGGTGAATAAATTTTCATTTTTGGGTGGACTATTCTGTCTGATTGCTTAGAAAAGAAACTTCACTTCAACAAGCTGCGTGCACGGTAGGGCTGTCAAAATGACTGAAAAACTAAATTCGAATTTTCGACTTAAATATTATCAAAATTCGAATTATGTCTTTAGACATGTTTTTTAAAAGTTGAACTTGCATTAATTTTACATGGCTTTCTAAACATGCCGCTCTCTGCGAGACGCGAGTGCAACGCTGATAGATGTCCCTCTAGAAAATGTAATAAATATGCGTTCTGTGTGAACGGCTTGGTTTCAGTTTTGACGTAAACAACATCTTCTCCACACTGATGCTCTTGTTTTCCGCAATATATGAATGAACAACGTAGCAGCGTTGGGTTCAACTGGATAGGCTAACAAAAGCATTCAAATGCAATCAATGGCACATACATCGTCATCGCATCTTGTGCGCCACTGATAAGGCTGCCTGACGGCTGACGCAGACCTTAAATTCGAAGGCAACGTTTTTGCATTCGAATGTGGATTTTTTTTTTTAATTCGACGAATATTCGAAGTTCGATTTTTTTTTGACAGCCCTAGTGCACGGTTTAAGGCAACATTCATGAGCGTAGCACAAACAATGCACAAACAACACTTAAGTTTACTACCTAGGGTTGGTGATTTGTTCGGATCCCTAACCTCAAGTGTAAGCAGCAGTAATTGTGATATTTGTCTTTGCAGGGGCACTGTATATAAAAAATGTGTACGATGTGGCCTCTTTAAAGCAATGTGTTTGACAATGTTCTTTGTTTTATGTGTGCGGTGGATAAACATTGTGTTTGTGTGTGTGCGGTGTGCTAATGGACTAATGGAGTCGCTCGTCTCTCTCTAATGCCATTGAGATTCATTTCTGCCTTATGAATTTAAACCCTCAAAAGGCCACTATTAATTTCAAAACCAAAGGCATCTAGAGTTCTTTCAATTAGTTTTTCCATCTCTTTTATTTCCGTCATCCTGAGGGATGTCTTAATTACATTATTCATTGTTTCATCTCATTTAAGTGGGAATGCATGTATTGTTGGAGGCCTGTTGAAAGCAGAAGAAGGGATAATTGAGAAAGGTCTCAAACAAATCCTCTGAGGCAAAACGATCACCATATCTGTCATTAAAACACTTCTGATTTTTAGGTTTTAATGATGAAATTCATCATTACTTTTTACAGTTTTACACAGTGAACTGAAAACTGCAAACTCAAATCCGATCGGCTGGCTTTTTTGTTTGAGGAAGTAAATGAGGCATCCTTGAGTGCAACTGTATATTGTTTTGTTTATGTTGTTGAAATTACCATTCAAAAGTTTTTAAATACTTTTATTCACCAAGGACCAGGGTATTACTGTTATTACTGTAATATTACTGTTTATATTACTAATAACAGTACACTCTAAAAAATGCTGGGTTAAATATAACCCAGCGCTGGGTCAAAACAACCCAATAGCTGGGTTTGTCCCTTTTTAACCCACCGCTGGGTTATATTTAACCCAGCAGTTTTTAGAGTGTAATATTACTGTTTTGACTGTATTTGTAATAAAATCAGTACAGCCTTGGTGAGCATAAACACTTACAAACCCCAGATCTTTTGAACTCTATTGTATTCTAAACACATATTCCATTGATTTCTTCAGCGTTCCCTCTTGATTTCAAACTGACTGGGATCTTTCTACACCTTCAGCATGATTCTCATTGATATTCATATACCACTTAAAAAAAATCAACTATATTTGCTTTATACCAATAGCCAAAAGTCTGGTTGTGCCAGACTGTTCAGATTATGTGATGTATGTAGCTTGACCGTGGTTCACCCTGTCTCATGTGTGTTTGTGTCAGTAATATACTGCAGTAGGGAGGCCAGACACGCTCTCATAAATTACTCAATTACAGCAATCACGCAGAGCGTAAAAAGAAAAGGACAGATGAAAAAGGAGTGTGGAAAAGAAAAGAGCAGATGGTGGCATCGTTCTGGTCCTCCTGCTAAAGCCACCAGCCACTCCTTCCTCCACAGACTCAATGAAAAAGGTGCTGAAGATGAATTGCGGTGTGTGTGTGTGTGTGCGTGTGTGTGTGTGTGTGTGTGTGTGTGTGTGTGGTCTCAGGTCTCTTCGGTAATTGAGGGTTGTCCGTGAAAGAGAAGCCCTCACGACTCTCATCTGCTTTCTGTCTGAAGGAAGAACTGATTGTCAGAGATGAAAGCTTTTGTTAAACAGTTTTATGCCCCACTTACACTCACTCGTAGACAGACGGTTTCCTAACACCCGTTAAAATCGTGCAAGCCTGTTTTGCTTTACAGACAGGTATTGTGGTTTTTGTAAGTAGTCTGTTCCTCATAAAGTGCCCTAATAAATGTCAAATGTTAAATAATAAACAGCTTCTGTTTCGCCTCACTCTCATGTGGAGTCGTCTGTGCATTTTGTTTCATTTTCATCTGAAGTCATTGAAGGCACGAGGCATGTCTAACACTCAAGATGTTTAATACTCCTTTGTATCATTAAACATTTTTGCCTGTATATATTTCAGAGACTTTTAGTTTGTTATATTTTTAGCCCTAAAACCTGATGTGCTGCCTACCTAGGCAACTTTTTAGGCATAGTATTGGTGTGTTTCTTACTTCATGAAGGTTGTTCTAACAGTAAACTGGAAAGTTATGTTACATTTTTTGTTGTTGTAACTACACCATTTTTCAGGACCAAACTGAAAAATAGAGGTTTTAGTGTGTTTTGAACTTTAAAAAATAAATAACTAAATAAATAATTTAAAAATCCAAATATCATTACTGTTTTTTAAAAATAATAAAATATTCATTCATTCATTAATTTATTTATTGTGATTTTCTAGATATTAGTGTTTAAAGTGCATGAGCTAGAAAATAAGTTGCTCTAATAAGGTCTTTGGACAAGCTCAGTTAGTGCAATTTTTTATCCAAATGGTATTATTTATATATACGGTTATAGTTTTTATTAATATTTTGAATTAGTTTTTTTCCCCATTTAATTTTAATTTTATTTATTTATTCTATTTAGTGTATTTTTTTTTTGTAATTTTGTTATGCTAAATACTGTATTACTATTTAGGTTTAATTTATTTTTAATTTAAGTTTAGTTATAGTTCAGTTTTCATTTTTATTTATTTCCAGTTAGTAATTTTAATGCTTCAACCAAGATGGCAGACAGGGGGAAATGTTGATTATATATTTATACATTTAGGATAATGTTGAATTTTTTTTTATTTAATACCAAAGCTAAATGATTTATATAGATATTTATCAATTCAAAATGCACAATTGAATGCAATATTTATGTGTGGCATTGCAATTTTTGTTAGCTTAGCAACAGTTCTCTCATGCTTTCATGTGACAAAGGCTTTTTTTGTGTAACTTCTGTCCATAAATAGCATTTAAAATGAATAATTTATGAGGATTAATTTTTGGTTAGGATTCTGTACTTGAAGGGTGTTGCTTATTCAATTAGTGAACGTCAAAGCAGCTCATTAGCATTGTAGTATGTTCTTTTCACTGTTTTTATAACTTCACATCATTTCTCTATTCCTGCCTTCACAGCTCTGGTGTGTCGCTGCCATGGCGACCCTGACCCCCTGCTTCTTACGGATCTTTGCTGTCCTCCAATTGGCTGTCTGCTCGTTTCCAGAGGAACCTGGCCCTTTAATCTCTGCCCCTGCTGAGGGTAAGAACACGCCCCCTCACCAATTACAGTGTACCAGTTAATCAACATCAGCAGGTTATTTTTCAGTTAGACATAAATGCCACATTTATGATCTTTCATGCACTTATGTTTAGAGCATAACAGCACAATAAGCAACTACTATTTTTGTCTCATAAATTAGCTTTGAGAAAATCAGTTGAATTCCAAACTGTGCCAAGTTTCCGTGATCATAAACATATAAGAAAATATTTCCTTGCAAGTTACAGTGATTTTACCATGGTTAAGGTAAAATATGAATGTTTTGGAACTTATGAGTTTATACTTTTTATATTTATTTATTTATTTTTTTGTCCATGTAAGTCAGTGGGGACCCAAAACAGTTTGGTTACCAGCATTCATCAAAATACATTATTTTGTGTTCAGCAGAAGAAAGAACGTCATACAGGTTTAGAATGACTTGAGAGTGAGTAAACTATAACACCAATTTTTTTTTTTTTGGTTGTACTGCCCCTTTAAATGTAGTAAAATCACTGTAATGCCTACTTACTGTGGTTATGTTAAACACTGCATGTTGCACTACTGCTACAGGTTGTTCTTTTAAATGTACATATGGTTGACATATGATGTGGACTTGTCACACTGTTTGTAAATAGTTTTGCACATTAGCGCTCATGAATGGATGAAATACACCATATGGCTGTGATCATTTTAAAAGCCTTTTAACATAATGGTGTTAGAACAACCGAGACACAAAAACTGTGTGTGTGTGTGTGTGTGTGTGTATGAGGACCCGTATTCCCTATAGATCCTACAAAACAGAATCAGTAATATTGATGAACAACCACTCATGCATCTCTAATAATTCAGTAGAGACCAGGGGTTAAAGGTCATCCAGCACAATGTAGTTGGTGTTTATGTGGGTCAGGTTTTCTCCCACAAAGACAGTAAAACCCAAAATCACCTACACTGTGGGGTCCTGCCAATGTTCGCTCTCTGTGAAGAAAACGGCTTAGTAAACATACTAAATAATGTCTTAATGAGAAAGTAAAACAGCAGAAAGGTTTATATGAGGGCTAGATTTAGAGGTAGAGGAAAGAAAATATAATTATCTCAGTGTAAAAACAACAGAAGTCAGTGAAGAACAAAACAAACATGGCAGGGTTGTGTGTGTGTGTGCGTGTGTGTGTGTGTGTGTGTGTTTTGGAACTTATGGGTTGGTGCCCCGGTGAAGGATTTAAACATTTTTTTTTTTTTTTAGTTAAAGAAGCCACCTCTGATACCGCTGCTGTTATTTTGATAAAATAAAAAACATTATTTTGTTCTTTTTAGTTGAAGTTACCAAATTGGCTGTGCATCAGTGTTATTGTATTATGTATATACTGTTATAGTATTTATTAATTGTATTAATTAATAATTCATTTTGAACTTGCATTTCTGCTATTATCCAGTACATTATCCAGTAATTTTATGGACAAATCCATTAACCCTAAATCACAACACAATGAAGTGCACATTTTACAAAAACATTTAAACCCTTGTGAAATGTGTCCAAACAACTAGAGGCAAAGAACAAGCCAGCAACAACAACAGTATCTCTATCCTGATCTCCTTATTACAGTGGAATTAATTAGTAGCAGAAACTGTAAGAAATATCATTAGCATTCACAATAAATATGTGGGTCTCCTCAGGCTTCTCAGCCCTCAGACACAGAGTACAGATCCATCTGTGGTTGGAGGACACATTCCTGTTTGTTTTTTTTTCAATGGTAATCTGTTTTCTAATTGTGTTTAAACTCTTTCCACAGCATTTGAAAAGCAATTTTCCTTGTCTGAAATGCGTGGACCTCTCTGAACTGTCTCTTTTCAACAGCATTTTATGCAGGAGTGTAGTGGGGGACGCAATATAAAACTTATCAGCTTTGCTCATGAATATTAATTATGTGACAGGACATTAGACCAGGAGACTGATTGTCAGGGCAGGTTGCAATAGTTTTTTAATAATATTTATATTTTATTTTAATTCAGATTTATTTTAATTTAAAACAATTATTTACAAATTAACATGTTTTAATTTTACTTTTAGTTAACAATAACAATGCTGTGTGTGTGTGTGTGTGTGTTCATTCATTCATTCAAAAAGAAAAAGTGATATTTTTCATGGATACCCTGGCTAATCTTTTCAGTATAATCAAAGTAAATGATTTTAAGTTCTGGGGATTTTAAGTTCTAAAATGACAAAAAAGCACCATGAAAGTATATATCATATATCATATTAGTATGTAACATATGTAAGTGGTCTACGTGACATATTCATGTGAATGTGAGTAAATCATTTTTTTAATGAATCGTTTAAAGGTGACATATCATGAAAATCTGACTTTTCCAGGTTTTAAGTGCTATAATCAGGTCTCCGGTGCATCTACCAATCAAGGAAACATGAAAAAGATTGACCCAGTAACTTAGTTTTGGTAAGGCTTTTTTTCTGCAAGCGTCTGAGAAAACGAGCGCGTCTGATTTCGCTCCCTTGGTGACGTGGCAAAGGGATCTCATTATAATATTACCGCCCCTTAATCTGTAAGTTTACACCCACGGCACCGTCATTTGATTTCGCAAGCGACAACGGTGTACCAGTTCTAATGCCATGGCGAAAGTTTGAGCAAAACATGCTAACTATTCTGTCTTTGGCTGCACTGACGAGCACAAACACTATTTAGAGTCCCAGCCTCAGAGGAGACAAGAGCAGAACCAAAACAGATGTTTTTAGCAGGTCCGAGCTGTAATGATGCAGCTCTATTCTTGAAAAGGGGGCGGGGAGCAGCAGCTCATTTGCATTTAAAGAGACAGGCACGAAAAACATGAAACGTGTTTCTGCTTCCACTCAAAATAGGCATTTTCAAAATTATATTATAAATGATCTGTGGGGTATTTTGAGCTGAAACTTCACAGAGACATTCTGGGGACACCAGAGACTTATATTACATATTGTAAAAAGGGGCATAATATGTCTCCTTTAATGTTTTTCAATGAAAAACGGTCTGAAAGATTCAATTCATGAATTGAACTGATGCAGTTCTTGAGTTCAGCTCACTGATTCAATGATCCAGTCTGTTAACAGTTGACTGTAATGTATTGAGTAATGATGCGTATTCCTATTTCTCACAAAAACCTGTCACATGATTTAGAATATAGCACACAAGTTGTATATACCAAGCTTATGATGCTTTTATGGTACTTTTGTGTCCTTTTTGATGCCTGAATCTTTATTGTAATTACTTCGAAAAGAGCAGGCAGAATATTTTAGGAGAGATATAGTCATACAGGTTTGGAACTACACTGTAAAAAAAATTCCATACAATTTATGGTAAAAAAACGGCAACTGTGGTTGCCAGAATTTTACCGTAAAAAATATGGTAGCTACATTTTAGGTATTACGGTTTTACCTTAAATTTACAGTTAAATACCGTAATTTCATTAACTGATATAATGTTAATATACCAACCTATTGAAGTACTGAAATCTGTTTTGTATCTTTGTAATACACAAATAACCACCAAAAGCAGGTGGTGATGAGAGTCACATGATGAATCAAAGCCTATCACAAGCAGCTTTTAAATATTAACATATATAGAAGGTGCACAGTGTCATTCACACAAACACTAAACACCATCATGGTAACACACATGAAACTTAAATAATGCAATAAACATTAATTTAACAACATTAGATGTAACATACAACCCTAATGTACAAAACTGATAAGAAAAAACAGTTATTTCAACAAAAAAACATCAAATTTGACAACAAATTTAACAAAGGGAATTCTGGGAATGTCAATTTATGGTTATTTACTGTAAATTATACGTTCTTTTTCACTTCCAAAAACGGTATACTAGCGTAAAATTACATGTAATGTCCAATACAGTTTTTCACCGTACATAGTAGGGGAATTTACCGTTAACCATTTTATAGGTTTTTACTGTAGCATTTTTACAGTTTTTTTACCGTTAAATTCACTGTCATTTTCTTAGTGTACATGAGGGTGAGTAAATATGACAGATTCTGATTCTGATTCTGAGATTTGTTATATTTGTTGAACTTCTGCTTTAAGACAGCTTGTTTTTGGACTCTGCATGGAGAAGACACAATGATGTATGTCTTTGTCCTTTCTTCGTGTCTCAGAGGTCCTCTGTCTCTAACTCTTCTGGGAAAGTGATGGACACATTCCTGCCTGTGCTTTAGTGTCTGTTTCCTCTATCTATACTTCATATTTTGGCTCTTTTGTTTGGTTGTCTCTGTCTTCCATCTCAACTAGTCATTTTTCCACATTTTGACTTTCCTCTCTTCTGAATTGTCTCTGTTTCTTTATTTGTCAGTGGTGAGACGATACCCAGTGTTTGTGGGCCGAGCGCATCGCTCTTACACCCGTCAGGAGCCACTCTACATTCAGACCGTCCTGAAAGTCAACCGTACCCTCTACATCGGAGCCAGGTAACATCCAACTGCATTCATAACAATTCAACATACACACATTATAAATATTAGTACATTATATTTTGTATATTGCACGTCTTGTAAGGGCAAGCTAAATAAAGACTGTTGTGTTAATTTTGCATATTGCTGCGCATACTGTACTAAGGAAGAAGTGAAAATTATTCTCTGTGGTAATCATTGTTATTTTAGTATGATTTATATATTATTATGGTTTTTATACATTTTTAAGTTAGTAAAGCTATAATATTTGTAACTATTTTTATTTAATAAAAACTATATTTATTTATTTATTAAAATACTAGTTTATCATTTTATTTTAATATTTTAAATATTAAATAATATTTTATTTTTATATAAAATGACTTATTTTATATTTTTTAAATATTAAGGTTTTTTTTGCCATAATAAAAACTATATTTATTTATTTATTAAAATACTAGTTTATCATTTTATTTTAATATTTTAAATATTAAATAATATTTTATTTTTATATAAAATGACTTATTTTATATTTGTATTTTTTAAATATTAAGTTTTTTTTTGCCATTTTGTTATGTGCTTTGTCATTTTATTAGTATTTTTATTATTATTATTTTATTAGTATTTTTATTCTTTTTTTTTCATGGTTAGGTTTAATTTATTTTTATTTCAGTTTTAGTATTTTGTTCAGTTTGAGTTTTTGTTTATTTCCAGTGAATAATTTTAGTGCTTCAACTTGCCATGACAACATTTCTAATTTTTGTTTAGTTTTTCATCTTATATTTTTTGATTTCATGATGTTATATGTTTTTAATACGTTTACTACAATTAACTATAATAACCCTGGTAGTAATTGACAACATTATAAATCATCAAGATGTTAATTTGAACTTTAATGTTGCCCACTCTATTCACACAGCAACATCACCGTATTTGGTTTTACATTATGAATTAATATGACATGAGTATAATATCCTCTCTGTTATTAAAACCTTTCTATTTCACTACACCATCTCGGTACCTAATTGGTCTTAAACGGAAATGATAGGTTACACAATGAGAAAATGTCATTACGTTTCAAAGCTCTGACATTCCGTCCTTATAGCTCAACACAATCAGCAGTATAACAGCATGTTCTTTCCATGCAGTCAAAGGAAAGAACGGGAAATCTATGTCCAGTTTGACTGGTGTTACATTTAGTTACATCTTTGAAATCGGTCACATGGACAGGCCTTCAAAGGTTTTCGACTCCCGAGGGAGTTCACATGTGGTCCTTGTTAGGCAGTGGTTGAAAGTTAAACCCCTGTTCGCTGACCTTTAACCATTACACAGTCAAGCTGCTTAAACGCTTGCTTTCTCTGAACAGATATACTCTATCTTACGTTTCCGAGCGCTCTTAGAAACTCTCTTACACATTCTGGAAAGTGGAAACTCTTATAATCCGGTTACTGACACCACAAAACTCTGAGGCTGACATCTCCAGAGCTGAGAACTCCAATTTAGACTGTTCTCATAGACAGGTTGATGGATTTGTTTTATCAAAACCCTTTAGTGCTTCACTGTATTAGGTGGCGAAATATATCTTCACAGACTTTCTGTCTTGTCTCAGTCACATGCTTTTGGCTGTAATTTGATTTGCATACTTCTAATATTCTCTATGCTACACTATGTACTTTACTGACAGTGGGAAAATATTCTTATGTAGTTAGACAGTAAATCAGACATACTGCAACATAAAACTGTGTGTTGATAAGTTATGGTAACTCTTTACAATAAGGTTTCATTTGTTAGCATTAGTTAACCTACATTAGTTAACGTGAACAAACAATGAACAATATTTCTACAGCATTTATTAATCTTAGTTAATTTTATTTTTTACATTTACTAATACATTTTAAAAATCTAAAGTTGTCTGTTGACATTAGTTAATGCAGTGTGAACTAATGTGAACAAACAATGAACAGTTGTATTTTTATTAACATTAACATTTCAGTTTTAGTAGGCTATAATTTTAGCAATTCAAAAATTATTTTATTTCAGTTCAGTTCAGTAGAAAATAAAATGTAAATTAAAAACTTGAATTAGACTCAAAAATAAATGTTCTAATTAAAGTATTTTTGAGTCTAATTAAAGTTTTGAATTTATATTTTATTTTCTAATAGTTTAAGTGAACAATAACAACTGGTACATTATGATTGCATTGGTAAATTTATTTAGCAAAATATTAGATTGTTTGAAGATGTCTTAAATTAAGTGTATTTTTAGTATTAGTATTTTTACTCCTTTTTTAAGCATAAACCTAATTTATTTTTGGTAGATGTTATGCTCAAACCAAGAAATTGTCATTATAAACAGAATATATTTCATCAAATTCAGCCTCGATGTTACAAGGAACGATATAGAAAGTCATTATTACCAACAGCTATTAGATTGTATAATTATTGTCATATTAGATGATTGATTTTAGTATCTTATTTGTATATTGTATAATCATGATGTAGTGCCTACTTTGATATTTGAAACAAAGGGGTGCTGAATGAAATATAGTATTCTATTTATTTTATACAATTTTTTATTATTGTGTGGTAAGCTCTGCTGTGACATGGGAATTTCACTTTGGGATTAATAAAGTTAATCAAATCAAATAGTAGATATATTTACTGATAACAACTCTACACAAATTTGCTTCTCCAGTAAATGCATTTTTAGTAAATTTATTTATTTATTCATTTTTGTCTGTTTTTTTACTGGTAAAAGGCCAAAATACTGATTAAGAATTTGTTTTATTGTTTATTTATGTTTGTTGTGTAGTGCATAGTCTATAGCATGAATAGTATATGAATTATGATTCGCCTTCTTAATGTTAAATTAAGGCCCATTTTCATTGTTACTGCTAATGCTGGTGTGTGTGTGTATGTGTGTGTGTGTGTGTTGGTGCAGAGATGACCTTTATCGAGTGGAACTGGACCATGTATCTGGAGATGAAATGTTCTACAGCAAGGTGAGACCTTGTACCACTGTTTCTTAGTCTGTTATTACTTTAATCCTTTCCCATGCAAATGAAACACACACACACACACACACACACACACACAATTGCATGTATGAACACTTCTCTAATTTTCCCATAAATGTCGGTGATGATTTTACTCCCTTGCTGTTTTGCAGAAAAGGACGTGGGAATCCAATAAGAATGACATCCGCATCTGTAGAATGAAGGGCAAACACGAGGTGAGCGTTCAAATAACACAAAGTTTTTTCACATTTCACGGCCATTTTTAGCACCGCCTTAGCGAGGAAATTCATTCACAGCACTTTGAGTGATTTACTATTGCCAAGAGCTTGATGTTTCAATCCGGTGGCAGATCTGGATACAATCTCATACAAATAAATTCTCCTGGAGAGTAAATGTAAAATATCAGGATTTGGCTTATTGGTTCACAAGGAGACGTAACTCTAGCCTCTCAGCGGATGCTTTTAACCTTATTGCGGATGATTACTTACAATCTTGGTTAGTTATTGGATGTTATTGAGGGGTGTGGATTTTCCTGTTATTTGCTTGTGTTTTTAACTCCTACTATAATTACTAGATTTACCTTACTGTCATACTGCCAGTTACCTTTTATGGCTCTCTTGTGTTTTATCAAACATACCTTTCCTACAGCTAATGTGTGTCTTATGTTAGACTTATGTTAGCATTCAAACACTAATGCAATTCATACTGTGTTTTTACAGTTACATTTATTCATTTAGCAAACGCTTTTTTTCAAAGGGGCTTACAATAAAGAACAATAGAGCCAACAATATTCATAGTATGCAATGCCAACTTCATTTGAAAAACGTAGAAAATATTTTTGATTAATTCCACCCATTTTTAACTTCTGTCCTTCATTATGTACTTCTAGAGTAGCAACTGTTTTTACCAAAGCAACATGGCTTATTATTTAGCAGAACATAAGTGAACGGCTGCAGGAGCTGTCAGGTCCAAATGTGCTTAATAAAAGCCAAAACTGTGACGCCAGTATGTGATACACACAGCCTGCTATAGCAAAAAGTACACGACTATTGCCTTTCAATAAAATTACATTTACCACCAGCTTTCCATGAACTGTATCACTGTGGTAATTGCATTAAGGAATCTACAAAAAGCCTCATTAACTTTGCCTAGGAATGAATTAAAATGCATAACTGGCATATTGATATAAAAGCTCATGTAGACCCAGATTAATGTGGCCTGCATTGAAACACAGCATGCTGAAGAAGAGCAGCTGTTTTGAGAAACCCCAAAACATCTCATTTCAGAACTGTAGTTATTTTTGGATGTTATTTCTTGATTTAAGATGATTTAAAGAGGGTGAGTTGGCACGATAGCAGGAAACGTGGCCTTTATTGCAAGAGATCTCAGTTGAGGGATGGATCACGATGACCCAACAACTGACTAGCCATTTAGTGTCTGAAAAGTCATGATTAATTGAAATAAAACTGAAACTATCTTCCCATACTTAAAAAGAAGTGCTTTAAAAAAAAAAGCTTTTGTCAAGAAGAG